TGTCCAAATGATGGGTCGACTACTCCTAATTTAACTGGAGAACGTCATCCTGAAAACATTAACCAAATACACGGACACAAGGCAAGTTTGCAATCCAGGTTTAAAAATACAAACCACACAAACACAAACCTTACGCCCTCTGTGAATTGAGCCAATCAATGCTACCAGAGGAGCAAACCTGTCTGGTGGTATCGAATGAAGAACTGCCATGTTGCTCCAGGCAAAACTGTTCCAGTTAATGGGAGACAATGAAAGAATATATCCAAGGCAAGACTGGATTAAGGTAGTGGTGCCTAAGGCCTTGGGGTAAATTTGGGGTCATACTTCTTAAATACCCCAAATTACACACTCTGGAAGAGTCTCAAAACTGGGGAATAGAGTTCAAAATAGCCATGCTGTCTTTCCAAACCAAAATGAAAAAATAAACAAACACTAAAGAAGGCAGTCCCCTGTCATTCAGTAAGAAATAATGATCTTTTTTAAAAAATGCCTTTGAAAAAATGCACATTTTAAGTAAAATATAGATTTTACAGTTAATCTGTAGGAGCTGGAGAATAGAGCCAAAATTAACACCTTGGGCTTTAGACAGCTGAGCCTGTGGATGTGTTTTTGCTTTGAATTTCAGATTTTTCACTTTTGACTCCCACACAGACCTTTGCTGACTGTGTCTCAACACAAGACAGCCCATTTTCAAAACTCAATTTGAGATTATACTGATTTATATGTAGATTGACAATGTGTTTTGTTTTTTAATTCCTGCATCGTTATCTTTTGCAAATGAAAACCAGGTTAGTATAGATGGACTAAAGCTGAGGTGTTTATTCTGCTTTTACTCAGTCCTTATCCATTTAGACCCCCAATGAAAGCAGGATTTGGTTCTGTCTCTCGGACAACTTAAATCATTGCAGCACGTCGATATAATTGTTGAAATACTAGGATTCTGGACTCACCTAGCTGGCTAGTGACATTGCAGTGCTTTGTCACATGTGATTGCAGTTCAAAAATAGACCCACTCAAACCATCTAGACATGTCGCTTGTCTGTACATGGCAAGTTAGTGCGCAGCAAGCCAGGGGGTGAATCGACGGCATGCCAGCTTGCTGCAAAGTAGCATCTTGTGTCAACTCTGCTGCAGTGCAGTGAAAGTCCTGGAGTGCAGCTTGGCTTACTACAAACACTCGCAGTCCAGATCTTTCAGAGTGCCGCAGCAGTGTCCACACAGGACATTACTGCACGGTAAGATGGTGTGCAGTAGAGTCACACCCTGTCTTGACACAAAAACTTGCTGTTTAGATAAGCCCATAGAATGCTTTGACGACAGCCCATCCTAGGTGAGTAAATAGTAGAGCTGGGCAAATATCACAAAAAGTTTGTGTATTTGCTCAAATTTATAAATACATTTGCTTCAGTCTGCCATGCTTATGCCCCTGTGTGTGTGTTCTTTCTACAAATGTTGAGTAATTGAGTTTTGAGTGCTTATAGGAAGTAAATTTTAAGCTTGCACATTCAGTACTCACAAGCTTAACATACATCCAGGATTATTCACAGTGTAACTGGTATATGTTTATAGGGGATGAGACTATTCAATACAGCAGGGACTACAGCAGTCCCCAGAACCCAAGCCAAACAGTTTTCTCATAATATTCTTCAAATCTGGGATCATGCATGCACCATAGCTTTGTGTGTATGTTACATTTAAATCCGGAACCAGTGCAACACATTTTACACCAGAATAATTTTTTTCCCAAAAAATGAAGCCTTAGGTAAAGTGTGTGTGGCCAAGAAGATGATTTAAGTTTTCCTAATTCTATTTATCTCCTTGTGATATTCAAACCCAAAGAGGATTATTCAAGTCTCTCTCTTGTTTACAGGAATTACACTCAGCCAATCAGAGAACAGAAACAATGCCACAAGATTTATGAGACCAACCTCATAAAAAGCAGTCTGAATATCCACATGAAAAAAATATACATAAAAATTAAAGGAAATACTTTTGTTGCCAAGACCATTAATACATTGCAAAATATGTTTGCCCTATATGGGTTCTTTGAAGGTATCATTTCATATAGGGATTTTCAATTTGTTTCTATGGAATTTCAAATATTATTCAGAAGAAATTCAGAATATTTTATACCCACACTAAATATGCAGCTTATCACCCAGCAACAAATAGGTTAGCAGAATACTTCATGCATACATATTAGCACATAGGAAGGCAGACCCCTTCAATAGTGTGCTCAAAATAGTCTATCATACAGGTCTATACCAGAGTCAAACAAACCAAAAAACCCTAAGCAGTTATTTTTGTAAACAAATTATGAATTAGATATGATTTACCTAGACCAGATTTAGCAAAAACCAGGTTAAAAAGGTAAAAAATAAAGAATCTATAACAGGGGATTTTACCAAGACTTTGAGATACAAAGTTACAGGGGAAGAAGGATTTGGAGAAAAACTGGTTGCCAGGAAGGAACTGGGACCACTCACATGTCTGTGAGAAGTAAAAGGGGAAATAATGAAGAAACATACTACAAGTTGTTGCAAGATAGAGGTTTAGAAAAGGAAAAAATAATTGAAATTGAAGTTTGGTAATGTCATTACTAAGAAAAATGGTTGTGCTTTATCTTAGTCTAAGAGATTATGCAATTTAAAATGTTGCTGTAGAAAGTGAATCTCAAAGTACAGATAAGGAACTAGAGAAGGAGCAAATATCCATCCTGTCATGCATGTTTAACCACAATCTAAATGCAGATATCCAAGAAAACTGTCATTGTTGTAGCATTTGTGTGCAGAGTTTTGCAGCAATATTGATCAGTACAGATTGTTGAGACACCCAGTATGGGCTCTCTGCTTGGGACTTCATTTTTGTTCTTTCTTGCTTTGTTCTCTCTCTGCAGACAACAGCCTGAGTGAAAGGACTAGTTTGCTCTTTGCATATGTTTCTTTCTAAGTGCCTTCATTCTTGCAGGCTACCAAGTCTGGGATGGAAAAGAAATATGAATATATCCCCAAAGAGTCCTGAAACATCAGACAGGGATCTATGTGGACTCTCTCTCCTAGGACATGCAACTACATATATATTTGACTGGCTTGTTTATTTAAGATTCACGATCTCTTTCATTCAGACCACTGGAGAAATGTTTACGTGGGTATAAAATATTCTGATTAATAGATACTTGAAATGATCCAGCTAAATATTTGAGAAAAAAAGAATACTGAAAAAATTCTCATTAAAAGAAATTATTCACCTGTTTCTATTATTCACTTCTGTTATGAATGGTAGAGAGCTCAGATATAGTGAATGGACACTTTTTCATTTAGTATGATTCAAAGGCAAATAGATGCAGGAATTTCTTCAAAGAAACAAACGTAATCTAGGAAATCATAGTGATTCATGACTTGGAAACCTTCAGATTTTCCAGAAGGCATTAATGTATTCTAGACAATAGTGTTACATGGAAGGAACTCTCGTAAGATTTCAGAGTGGTAGCTGATTGTTTTTGTTATGATCCATTGTAAAATCATAACCCATTCACTTTCTGCAGTTCACATGTTTGCTCACAGGAATAGCTTATGACACAATGCATTTCACAGTGTTTGAAACTGGCCCAAGTGTAGATGAGAGGAAAAGACATAAGCTTTTCTTACAATGACGACACCATCTTTGGTTAATAGTTTGATCCCACTATCAAACTTAACAAATTAGACCATCATTCATATTATATATAAAACATAATTGACTAGTAAAAACAAGGGGGAAAAATAAGTTTTCACCAGAATCACTGGTTGAATTTTTCACTGTGGCGAAAAGCAGTTTCTCCATACTGAAAATAGCTTTTGTTTCCAATTAACTTCTCCCTATCTTTGTCAGGTGGACTATATAATGGTAAGTCAGGACTTGTAAGCTTCATAGACCCAAGCCCAAAGCATTAATTGTAAAATGAAATATCATTGCTGGTATGTCTTTTAGCTCCTAGGGAGACTCATTCTGTTTCCTTTTTTGATCTGTCAGATGTTCCATATCCTTGCAGCGTTAATTTAAGCTAGGGATGAATGAACTAGCTCTGAATAACATGGGTCAAATCTCAACCTAATGCTCCAACTCCACTGACCCCAAATGTGTTCCTGTCCTCCCTGAAATTCATCTCAGCAGGTCTTGCATTTTTTGCTGTCCTGACTTTTTCCCCTTGCTCAAAATCTTATGAGTTTCCAAAAGTCAAAGGTGATCTATTATGAGTCCTAGGTGACAGTCCAAAACAATGTAGAATTTGAAGAGAACAGGCAGTCCCCTGTAGCAAGTGGCCTGAACGTGAAAGACCCTCCCTCTCCATCTCAACTGAGATGCTTAAGGAACTGAGGCTCATTAACTTGTTTCAAGTCAGGGAGAGAGGTGGAGAGTGGTGTGTCTGTCGTATGGAGTTAACAAAAAGGATCAAATCAACTAGAAGAATTTGGTTCAGTTAGGAAGGATGGACCTTTGAAGTTGCAGATACCCATTCATAAAACTTTCCATGGCTTATCGAACCCACCCCCCACCCACCCACCAGCAGCCCTGCCTATCAACTCCTCCACCTCCCTCCTAGTACCTCTAGCCCACCATGATCAGCTGTTTTGCAGCATGCAGGAAGCACTGGGAGGGAGGGGGAGGACCGGAGATGGGGGGGCGCTCAGGGTAGGATTGCCAATTTTGGCTGGACGTATTTCTGGTGGTTTCCTCACATGACAATCTTTAATTAAAGATTCATCTTTATTTCCTGGAGACTCCAGAGCAATCCTGGAAGGTTGGCAACCCTAGCTCAAGGGAAGGGGTGGAACTGGGTGGGACGAGGCAGGGCAGGGGTGGGGCCTGGGGCTGAGCAGAAGTTGAGCAAAGGAAAAAGCCAGCACCTGTGGCAGGAACAATATATGTAGCAGGAATCTATGTGAGGAAAGGAGGGACAAAGCAATCAAAGGGCCATAAGATGCTTTAAAAATAAGGTGTCTGACAGTAGGGGCTATTACCTCTGAATGGAGTATCTCCTGACAGACATCGGTGGGAGAAAGAGACGAGGGGCCGGAATTCTCCTCAGTCAGAGCACATAAGTGAAGGGAGGTGGGGTTTTCTTCAGCTGACCACCTGATCAAAAAAAGACAATTTTGAAAGGGATTTATAAAGGGTTAAGGACTCCTGATGTCTCCTTGCAGCACAAATGTGCCCCTGCCGGTCCCACCAATCATTCCACAAATATATTTTCCATGGAAAACTACCTTTGTCAAGGGCTTTTTTTATAGAAAGGCTTCTGACTCACCCAATCATAGCCCTCAAGTCCAAATGTCACAGCTTAAAGAGTCTCATGTGACTTGTTTGCTGTCCACCCAAACTCTTTTCACTGCTCATGCAGCTCACCCTTCCAGGTGGTTGAGGACTACTGGATTTCCCTGGTGTCCCCTAATAAATGAAGAAACTTAACCGGCCTTCACAATCCCAGAGTTAAACAATAGTCCCACGTACTCAGATGCACCTCTCCTGAGCTCCTCTCTTTAAATCTAACCTTTCCTTAGTATCCTGACCTTTATACTGGGCTGCAGGCTCCAGGTGTGACCCAAAAATGCCTTAATGCCAACTGGTGAGGGGGTTACAGGAATGTCCTGATTCTGGTATCTACATTTTTGTTCCCCAGAGATTGTCATATGAGATCTTAAATGAATGTTGGAATCACACTGGTCATTAATATTGTTATGAAATGTACATGCAGATATTATGCAAGGTGCTCTTTATGTATACTGGAAATACGTTCTTAGAGTGTGTATGGAGGTGAAAGTCACCAACAGAGGTGGAAAAAAACAGATTTTCTGTAACACAACAGATGTTTATTCACCTCTCTCTGTGTTGGATGTATATTAAGCATTATAAACTAACAGAATGGATGCCAATTTATATACAAAGTCAAGAGAAAAGCAGCACACAAGAAAAATAAGCTATGAGTAGTTAACCTGTCTTTGAGTACAGACAATGAATTTTGGGGGGGTATAATAGAAAGCAATGAAGACACCGCCTCATCCTGCACGTAGGAAGTAAATGGACAGTGCATTTATATTCAGAAAATAGGATCTCAGCCAAATTCAGTTGAAACGCTGCAGAGGACTATGGAGCTGGGATACATTTCTTTAGACAGAAGAATAATGTGTTAGTTAAGTTTAGTCTCTGGAAAGCATGTTACGATTTTTTTTTATGTGTAACGAATAGTTTTACTCACTACTATTTGAATCTTTGGTAATAAATTTATTCTTGTTTTCACTACAAATATATCTAATTAGCTCATTATATTCCCATGCCCCTTCCTCCCCCCGTCCTATATTCATCTGATCTAAAAGGTTCTGGGCTCAATCCGGTAAGGTGCCGAACACTTAACTAACACGGGCTTCAATGGGTAGTGAGGGTAGTCAGCACCTGGCAGAGCCAAACCCTATGTTGATACATAAAGGCACCACAAACTGTAATCATACAGATCCCTCAGACATTAAAATATATTTTAAATTGTTTTTAAACACTTTCATAGTCAGTATCACAAAGATTTGCCAACTCCATGTGCTGCATCATCAGCCTGGAAAATTGAAAAAGGCGAGCTTTGATTAAAAAACTGTAGCTGAAAAGACCACAATTCTTAATTAAACTAGGTTTTATGAGTTTAAAACTTTAAAATATACTTTTGGTTTTCTGCCTTTCAGAAAAGATCTTTCTGTGAGCAGATGTGCACTTCAATCCTATGGATCAAGTCCTGTGAGGTAATTACTATCTTCTTCAGTGAGGGTTGTGAGCTCTTCACAGGACTGGGCATTAAAGCAGTCAGTGGGTAACTTAAAAACCCATGCTTTTTCTATTTGAAAAAGGGTGTGTGATTATAACTGGCTACTACAAAACTAAGTATGGGATATACTCATTTATAACAATGGGAGATTTACTGGAATTAAATATGAACTGCAAAAGGTATATTTGGAACTTAACATGCATCTCCTTTGAATATATTTCTAAGTATTCTAAAGCTGATAAAATTCTACATTGTCAAGTCTGGAACTGCTGCTGCCAATGAACAGTTCCAAATATAGCATTGAAACTGGACCCAAAACATCAAGGGCTCAGAATTGCACTGCTCAGATTTAAATTGATACCTTCCAGGGAATTATGGTTTTGCACTCTAGTGGCTGGAGGCCTTGTAATAGAATAAATTGCTAATAATACTAGTCACTGCAATCTGAGATTTTTCCTTTTAGCTCAAGCAAAGCCACCCCCCCACCCCACACACACATACACACACACACACACACACCTTCATTGCAAGCAGAGTTCAAATGCCAGCAAAACCTTCACACTTTAATGACACTTAGAGTAAAAAGATTGTAGGCTTCCAGCGTTCACAAGGGAATTCTCAAAAGTCTTTCATGTGTATAGCATGTGCTAAGAGACTTACAGGCAACAACAGTCCTTCTGGGAATGTTGAGAGGTGCAGTTCCTATACCATTTTATTAACAAATTTAATCAGTATATGTTGTTTCTATTGGCTTCTAGAAGATCACTATTTCAATATCCATAAAGCTATAGGATTACACAGAAGGATTTGAAATAGGGCTGAAACTGTTCTGACCAATGGTGTGTGAGATGTACTGAAATAGTTATCTTTTAAACAAATTAGAATCTTTTTAAAATACTAAATAGACACTGATATTAGATATGTAACAGTGCTTACTACCTATGATCATTTTTGCACTTCAGACATTGGTCATTTTTATAACTGTTGTCAAATATGAATAAGAAAAATGCTACACGGGTACCTTAGTTATATATAAAGCTATGCATGTATAATAGTTTCTTCTGGTAACATGGAGATCAACGAAAAGCAAAACTCAAGTGGTTTTGTGTCAACATATGTCTTAGACGCAGTATTATGTAAAACCTGGCTGTCACTTTCCTTGCATTTAATATGACAGTGCTTACAATGACTTGAAAGAATAGATTCATAGATTCCAAGGCCAGAAGGGACTATTGTGATCATCCAATCTGACGTCCTATGCAATACAGGGCCCTAGAACTTCCCTAAAATAATTCCCAGATCATATCTTTTAGAAAAAACCATCCGATCTTGATTTAAAATGGTCTGTAATGGAGAATCCACCACGATCCTTGGCAAACTGTTCCACTGGCTAATTACACTCGATGTTCAAAATGTATACCTTATTTCCACTCTGAATGTTTCCAACTTTGGCTTTCAGCCCTAGGGTCATGTTATACCTTTCTAGGCTAGACTGAAGAGGCCATTAGTAAATTTGTTCCCTTACTTATAGACTAATCAAGCCACCCCTTAACTTTCTCTTTAAGCTAAATATATGGGGCTCCCTGAGTGTACCATCATAAGGCATATTTTCTAATCCTTGAATCATTTTTGTGGCTCTTCTCTGAACCTGCTCCAGTTTATCAAAATCCTTCCTGAATTGTGGATTTATTTACGTAAGTCAACATCCTATAAACAATACTGCTGCAATTTAATAGTCAGTGTCTCATAAAACATTATTGTATTATAGTTTTATAGCATAGTAATTCTTGTACCAACCCTCCCCCCCCCAAAAAATCACAAACAAAGCTTTACTGAACATTAGCTTAGGCTGCTCTCATCAATAAACTAACCCATAAAAAATAGAAGATACAAAGTAAGGATTAAAAGCATGCAAGACCAAATACTCACAAATTAAGATATGTCAGTATTCAGGTTACACATGAGATCTTAATTTGGTTCCCCTTTCTGTGTAGGCATTATAATAGTCTAATTACTGCCACCCTGGAGACCTGGAGTCTATCCTGGCGTCTGCCACTGAGCTCCTATGTGATGCTGGGCAAGTCACTAATGCCAAAATTTTCCACAGGTAGCCACTTCTGCATGTAATTAAAGACTGTATAATACTGCCTATGCAAAAAAGGATGAATTAAGGTTTCATGGACAATGTTCATCCTGCTGTAAAACTATGCATTACAATTATGTTTTATAGGACATAATTAAGTAGCATCAGTATTGTTCAAAAATGTAGATTATCATGTAAACATGTCAGCAAGAGTCACTGTCTCCCTGTATTTTGGAGAGAGTTATGAAAATGTTATTTTCAGTATTTGGGGGGAAATATGGATTTTACAGTATTAGGAAAAAATGATCTGCAACTTCTAAATGTCTCTTTAAATTGAGTAACAGAAAACTGAGCAGGGACTCATCAATAATTTTCCACTTTTAACAATAAGTTAATATTCATAAAGTCACAGTCCCCCAATTCTAACAATGTACAGAAAAAAGAGCTATGATTTTTTTTCCTTTCTTTTTATGCAACCCTTTTTGAGGAAAGTAAACAAATGGTCTCATTTCAAAAGGGTAATTAACAACACAGTACAAACCCAAAGAAGCACAGCAGAGTTTAGCAACACCCAGTATGATTTTATTGAAACTCCTCCTGTGACCCTTCTTCAAACAATATGATAATCTGAGGTCAATCCCTTATCAAAGGTAGCCATTGCCATGACAACCAGTGCAACAGTGACACCCAAGTATGCAAATAAAGTGGAGGGAGGGAGCTGTTTTTCTCTGTCACGATGTTACTTCTCAGGTAGCAGCATGGGGGCAGCAAACATAAGCCTGATTATCATACAATGTATCTGGTGTCTAAGATTTCCCAAATCCACCCAGTGAGCCAGGAACACACACATACATATAACACTTATGGATACAATGGCCTACAGGGCCATATTGTCAGGCACATCTCAATATAATAGTCTGAAATTTTCATGCTTTCAAAGAATGGTTCGAAGTATGCAGATAACATTTGTAAAGTTGAAACAATAGTTTCAAGATATGCCTGTGTTCATCGTACCTGTCACAGTACTCAAATGGAAGCTGAGTTTACTTCAGCTCTATAGTGGGAAGCGCTGCTCCTTTATACAAAAGAAAATTTTTTTGCATCTCCTCACACCCATTGTAGCTCATGATTAGAATGTGATGATGAATCTTCAGGTGTGTTTTTCATAGTCTTCAATACTAACTGAATTGATCATCATTGCAGTCAATCTTTTACTTTTTTTTTTTTAAGTTCACAAATGGAACA